ATACCAACTGCTGGAGTGGGACCTGTGAACCTGAAGGGGTGGGTGGCCATCCTGTCCCTGTGGCTTTGAAGTTGAAGGTGCGCTAAACCTTTATGCACCTAGTCACTGCAAAGATCCTCTGAAGATCTGTATGGAATGTCTTAGTCCTCAACCCAGAGATGTATCAAGCCTAATACCAAAGTACTGAGTGCCGGATCATCTCGATTCCGAGGTCAGTGCTACAGCCCAGCAAAGGCTTTGCCAACATATCTGGTATCTCCCAGGTACAGGCCACCGTAGACTACACTTTGCATTGAAAGCACCATGTATTAATGCATCAGACTTCTTTAACGGAAAAGGCTTTAGTTCCATCAATATAGAAGAGAAGTGTGATCATTGGTATCACATCTTAAAAGTCTGCACCAGGTGCCCTGCAAGCTGCCATGATGCCTGTATCCTTGAAAACCGTCATGTTCTGCTTCATTTCAAGCGGTCAGATGCCTTTGGAGGTCCCAGTGCCTTACAAAGACCAGGACACGAAGGCTTCCCTCTGCAACCATGGCTGATCACTGCATTACATAACCCCCTGACTGAGAACAAGTGTCAAAGAAATGCAGCCCATTCTGTCACAAGCCATTGTGGAGCAGATGATGGCCCTCCTGAAGATGAGGTTCAGATGCATGAATTTTTGTATGGCAAGGTCTAGCCAGAGTGTGCTGCATGGTTCTAGTGGCAAGGAGGGAATGTGATAGACACTGAAGAGGATGAAGATGAGGACATTAGGCAGGAACATTGCCTTCAGCACATCAGAGCAGTGTAGTGTCAGGTTCAACAAGTGAGGCAGGACCCTGACACCTTGTTCCACTCGATCTGAACTAGGTGTAGTGATCATTCATTGACTGTAAATTTATTGTTGCTCAAAAAGCAATTGGCCCCTGATTGTTCACAGAAGCAAATGTAGCTTATTTTCTTTTCCTTTGTTCTTCTTGGCTTTCGCTGTTATTCTTTAAAAGTTAATATTTTTAACCATTTGAACCACTCAAGCATTTGATGTTCCCACATTGAACAAAACAAAATGTAATGCTATGCTGGGAGTTAGGGGAGAATGGCAGTCCTACATAGCTCTAAGGATGTGTAGTCCATGTGGCTTGACTTTTCTAGCTGCAGTTAGAATGAATGTATTGCAGTCAGGTGAAATAGCAATACATTGAATAATTGGAAGTTATATTTACAATCAAGCATCATCTACTTGTACTTTGAAAGGTAATTATTGGCTGGTAGCATTTGATCTGGTGCACAACTGGGCTTTACAAATGACACGGGCGGCAGAATTCACAGAAGTCTTGGTAGTGCAAAAACGTTTATGGTTGGTGAGTGCATGATGTGTAAGAATGGTGCCGTAGACGCATGTTACATGCATAATGCGGTCACGAGCACAAAATTGTATCAAGAATCTCACTGGACCTCAGACAGAAGCCATCTATGAAACTCTTAAAAATTGTTTCATAGCCAATTGTTTGTAAAATTCAACCCATTTTCTTCATCTGTCCCGTCTACTTTTTTTTTACAGTTAGTATACTTTATACTGTATTTAAATGATTTTTACAGGTACACCATTAGTTATCTTAAGCCACAGTACAAATTGAATGCAGAAAATTAGTTGCTCAAAAAATCTTCTTACTCCTTGCCGTGTATAATAAGCTTTGAAATTCCGAATGTCCACATTTGCTCCAATCTGGAAATACAGACAACAATAAAACCTTATACAAGTTGTCAGTGTAGACAGTGTGTAGAATTCAAAGTTGCTTGGTTAGTTATTCTTGTCACTGGTATTTTCTTGAATAAACCAGTGAGAATGGATTTTGAAGTGTTACAGGCTTCAGAGTCACAAAGAATTACCAGTTGATATTTCAGTAAATAGTCCTTGCAGACATCTATCTTAAATGTAGTAACGAATTGTTGAATACTGTTTGCAAGTTAACACTGCTTCTCCATTGTACTTTGCATTGTGTGTGTTGAAGTGTGTGATTGCAATTCCAGGAAATACTTGTAAATATTTAATTTATGATAGTATGTGTTGAGAATGCAAAGTATTTTGCTTAATTGTTTTTATTCCACTGGATAAATATTTGAGTTATTTTTTATCATACTGAGAAGAATTTTAAAGAAGCAAGCATTTTGTTTCCATCAAGAGCTGTTTTATGTAGTAAGTTATGATATAGCATCAATTTCTGTATTTGGAGAACTCTGTACATTGAATTGCGATTGAAACTTTATGCGCAATAACATTATACTTTTTTTATAGTGCTTTTAATGCAGAGAAATCCTTCATAGGAAGACAGTGATGGATTGTAAGTCTTGGTATTATATTAGCTAGGCATTAATTGATAAAAACAAGCCAATGAGTGAGCTGCTAACATCAAGGTATTCTGATCAGTTGATAAATGTAGGGGAGATTAGCAAATCATTCTGGTTTATTTAGATAATCCAAAAGCTCTTATGGTGCAGTGCTACTGTCCCCCTTTCTGAGCCTGATGTGTTGAAGTCCGACCTGCCACACAGATGTGTCATAACATGTCCCAACACGTTGATTTTAGCAAAAAATGTTGTTAGGATAGTTCACACAGTTTGGCAAATGGTTATCATTAGTTGAAAATGTTTAGCTATGCTTGTCAATGATTAAACGTTTCTGGTCAATGTGGAGCTTATGAGCTTAGTTAAATATGGAACAATTAGAAACCACAATAAGTTATTCTAGTTGTGTATATAATCTGGTTGTGTAATGTTTCTGTTATCCTGCCTTGAGAAGGCTGTTGATGAGATCCAGAAGGGAGCTAAGGATAATTTGTTCATTTATAAATTGAGGCCCAAGGAGTTGACCTTGTCTTTGATGGAAAAGAAATAGCAGAGGATACAAGAACAATTTTTATTTTGTAATCTATCATAAAATGTAGATCTAAACGGGCTGTTTAATTTAGATTATGGTTGCATAACATGGAAGTGAAATAATTTTCTCCCATCTAGAATGGAACACACTTCTAACAAAGTTAATTATTGTGTTGATTAGCACAATTAAAGTCGGTAAATAATTAGACATTCTAAGCACGTGTATACAAGAATATGATTTAATACTATTGTATGATGTATGCTCATGACCAGAGAATGAATGAAGCAACATGCTATGAAGTTTAGTATGAATATTATTTGAGATTTGGGAAACCCTTCGCAGAAGCTTGTCTCAGAGTTAGGTAGAATCTGCAGTGACCAGATTCTGCGCAAAATTATCTGTGAGTTTGTGCACCATTTGGATCTTTGCCTCAACTAGCTGAAATAATGGCTGCAGATCCTGGCACTACAGTTTTCTGCTTGTAAGACCGTACAGTGAGCTGATGGTCTCAGATACATTTCTCTGTTATATTATGTTGGGCAAGGTCCTTAATTAGCTTTCTGCCCTTTCTTTAGCCATTTCACAATTTATTCTTGGTAGCAAAAGGCTTAGTAGAAAATATTTTGTGCACTAAAAATAAAAATTAATAAACTGGCTATTTGCGAGTCAAAATGTGTCATCTTCCACATATTGCTAATATATTATGCAGAATAACATCAAGTAACATGAGATTTGTAGCTATGTGGAAAGATTGGATAAGCTAGAATTATTTTTTCTCAGAACAGAGGAGGTGTTCAAAATTGTAAGTCACCTAAATGGAGTAGACATGAAGAACTGTTTCCCTTAACAGGGAGGACAGTTACTGAGGGACACCAATTTAAAGTGATTGGTTGAAGGATTAGAGGCACATGACTGGAATTTGCTGCTTGATGTGGTGTTAGAGACAGAAAGCCTCGATTAATTTAAAAGGTACCTGGCTCTGCACCTCAGGTGTTGTAATCTAAAAGGTCATGGACAAGGTAGTGGAAGATGAGCCAGAAGGTGTGTGGCTAGTATTTTTTTCCTTTTTCAGTTGTCTCATATAATGGACTGGTTGGGGGCCTCTTCCTTGATTGTCTTATTTCGTTCCATCTGTTACTAAAGTAATAAGTACAGACATTTGGGCATCTACCCATCGGTCAGAAATTATACCCTTACATTGTAAGAGGATTTGCCAGAGCTGCTAATCTTAAATGCAGTATTCTTTGAAGCTGCAAATGTGACCTTTAGCATTGGCAATATACTAACTTGCTCATATTCAAAGCCGCTTTGGATATTTATCCTTCAAGTTTCAATTCAATTAATCACTGGGTTAAGGAAAAATTTACTCAGATCTTTTACTCTTGTTTCTGCACCTCACATCAGCTAAATTGGATAATCTGCAACAAGTTCACTTTTTGGCTCATAAGGCGTATGCTGAATAAGCAGAAGGACCTTTTCCTCTTTGCATACTTTTATATATGAGCTTCCTTTCCTCCTCAGCAGATTTTGATTAATCAGAATAAAGTACACTACTATAGGCAACATCTACTGTACAGTTTTGTTGACAAGGATCAATTTTTTTTTGTTAAACCAGTCTTCAATTAAGATGGGGGATCAGTGTTGTTCTTTCCTAAACTTGATTGACATTGCTGATCAGTAGATTGCATTTGAAATGAAAGTTCGACCATTTGGACATACATTGTCACCATCTCAGACTTAGTACTCATAGTCACAATTCATAAAAAAATGATTTGGAAGCCCCATTATGTAATTGTTAAACTTGACTACTCTTTTTTGTCCTTTTTCATCTAATATTTGTAATTCCGTAGCTTTGGTTTGCTAAATGCCCTGTGAGTTCCTTTATCCAATTTTTTATCAAATTTTGTGTAATGTCATGTATGATTATCTACAATGTTATATTGGGATCATTTTCAATCATTTCTGAATCATGCTTTTTGATAATGATTTTTAGATTACTTAGTTGTTGGGATTCACTGATGAATAATGCCAAGTATATCATTTGCACTAAGTTCAAAGGCTTTATTTTAAAAATGCTGTCTTAAATGTATTTTTCCATCGTGATTAATGAGGAATTTGATTTTACTTTTATTAGGTGACATAGGGAACTACTATTATGGACAGGGACACCCTATGAAACCACATCGAATCCGTATGACCCATAATCTGTTGCTGAATTACGGCTTGTACAGAAAGATGGAAATCTATGTAAGTTGGTACTTCTATTTTCTAAACCTGACTAGTTGGGGAATGGAGAAGGAGAAGTGACAATGGTACAACCAACTGATTTTTGTTGTTTTTCCATTAGCGGCCACACAAGGCCACAACGGAGGAGATGACAAAATACCACAGTGATGACTACATCAAGTTCTTGCGGTCAATACGACCAGATAACATGTCAGAGTACAGCAAACAGATGCAGAGATGTAAGAAAGGAATTTAAATTGTCTTGTACAACATAAAATCATATAGGCCTAAAAATTCAGGATTTATGAATCCTCCAAAAATGAATAATCTGAAGTGTTCATGGTTCCCTTCAGAAAATTTGTCATGACATATTGTATTTTGTGCAACGGAGCCTCTCAGCTTGAACTTTGTTCCGTCACTCTTGTTTTCAGTTAAATCTGACATTGTGTTTAATACGCCCCACCCTCATCTCGCTCGCAGTTATATATCTGAAGTGATTGTGTAGCTTTAATTCTGTTCCTGGTTGATAAGTAAAGACAGTGATGAATTGTCAGGTTCCATAAGGATACGTGTGATTTTAAGCCCAGCAACTTATTAACATTTTAATTTTATATACTTTGTTCTTCTCAATATTTAGTCAATCAGAATCAATTGTAATTAGTATAGTACAGTATCTACTTAATCAGAGGTTAAAATGGGACGTAACATACTAGTTAAGCAGTAAAATGCATAATGTTATCGTTTAAAAGTTTCAAAATTCAAAATGTCCAAAGGTATATTGAGTTCTTTGTCTATACCATGGGGTGAAAGCCCATTAACTGTATTTGTCTGTCATGAGCTTCTAGAGTCTTGGCACTTAAACTGTGTCCTTGGTTAGCTAAGTCTTTCCTTTATCTCACCCAAGGATGTTCTCCATAGCTAGTTCTATAACTCCTTGAATCAGATCTCTAGCCTTCAAAACAGTTTTCTGTGATTGTATTGTTTGTATTGCCTGTCATGGTTTATTTATGGGCAGACATGTTCATAACACTTGTTAATCAGCTGTTCAGCCATTCATTCTAACTTATCTAAATCCTTATCATATGATTTAACTGTACAGTTATTCTTTAAAGTGACATCTATTCTAATCCAACAGAATGGATTTAAGTTCGGCACCCTTGCCATAGCCAGTCATGAATGATGGTGGATAATGAAACATGAAGCAGGAGGTGGAGGTTATACAAATAGCCCCATCCTCAATGATGGGGGAGCCCAACACATTAGTGCAAAAGTCAAGGCTGAAGTATTTGCGTACATATCAGCTTGACATGCCGAGCGCATGATCCCTCTCAACCTCCTCCAACATCATAGATGCTAGTCTTCAAACAATTCGATTCATTCCACGTAATACCAAGAAACAGCTGAAGACACTGGATACTAGAAAGGCAATAGGCCCTGACAATATTCCAGCAGCAGTGCTGCAAACCTGTGCTCCAAAACTAGTTGTGCACTAAGCCAAACTGTTGCGGAACAGCTACAACAGCCTCAAAATCTACAGAATCATCCAGATATGTTATTTGCATATAAAACAGAGCAGATACCATCCAGTCAGTTGCTGCCCTGTCAATCTACTCTTAAACATCTGTAAAGTTATGGAAGGAGTCATTGACAGTGCTGTCAAATAATACTTGCAAAGGAATAACTGTTTTGTTCGGCCAGGGGCACTTGGCTCCTGACTCCATTACAACCTTGGTCCAAACATGGTCAAAAAAGCTAAAATCCAAAAGTGAGGTCAGGGTGATTGGCTTTGATGTCACAGCAGCTTTTTATCAGGTATGGTATCAAGGAGTCCTAGTAAAACAGTCAGTGAGAATCATGATGTAAGCTGTCTACTGGTCGGAATTATACCTTGCACAAAGGAAGTTGGTGGTGGTCGTTGGAGATTGATCTTTGATCTTTGCTAGGATATCACTACAGGAATAAAATCAGAAAGTGATAAAAAAAAACCCAGCAGGTCTGGCAGCATCTGTGGAGAAGAAGCAGAGTTAACATTTCGGATCTAGTGACCCTTCTTCAGAACGGACCCAAAAATGGACTGGACCCGCAGCGGTAACTCTGCTTTCTCTTCACAAATGCTGCTAGACCTGCTGAGGCTTTCCTCCAATTTCTGATTTTGTTTCTGATTTCTAGCATCTACGGTTCGTTGGTTTATTTTCATCACTGCAGGAATTCTTGGTTCGTGTCCTTGGCCCACTCATCTCCAGCTGCTTCGTCAATGATGTTCCCTCCATCATAAGGTCAAAGGCGGGAATATTTGCTGATGATTGCACAATGTTCAGCACCATTCATGACTCCTCAGATACTGAATTAGTCTCTGTCCATTTACAGTAGAACCTGGACAACATGCAAGCTTGGGCTGATAAGTAGCAAGTAGGGAAAGACAGTAGTGTAGTGGTAATGTAATTGGTGAGTAATTCAGAGGTCCAGCATAAAGTTCTAGGAGCACAGCTTCAAGTCTCACCATGGCAGCTGGTGGAATTTGTATTCATTTAGTAAATCTGGAACACAAAGATAGTGTCAGGATTGGTGACCATGGAACTGGCATCAATTGCTATAAAAACATATCTGTTTCACTGATGACATTTTGGAAATTAAGTCTGGTGTCCTTACCTATGCTAGTCTACTGTGACTGCAGACTCGTAGCAATGTAGTGACTTCTAACTGGCTTCTGAGATAGCCAAACAAACCATTTAGTTCAAGGGCAATTAGAAATGACCAATAAATGCTCACCTTGCCAATGATGCCCACATCCCATCAAGAGCATAAAGCAAAACAACGTAACATTTTCACCATCTCAAGTTCCAGACATGAAACATCTCCAACAAGAAGGAATCTAACTATCGCACCTCGATGCCCAATGACATTACCATCACTGAATCCCCCACGATTAACATCCAAAGATCACCATTGACCAGAAATTGAACTGGACTGACTATGTAAATATTGTGGCTACAAGAACAGGCTAAAGGCTAGAAATTCTGCAGCAAGAAACTTTCGACCTTTCTCCTTAAAGCCTGTCAGGCATCTACAAGGCACACATGAAGAGTGTGATGGCATACTCTCCACTTGCCCAGATGAGTGCAGCTCCAACATCACACAAGAAACTTGACACTATCCGGGGCAAGGCAGCCCATTTGATTGGCATCCATCCACCGCTTTAAATATTTACTCCCTTCACCACTGATGCACAGTTGCAGCAGTGTGTGTACTATCTATTCGATGTATTTCAACTACCAAGGCTCCTCCCTCCAAAGCACGTTCAAAATCTGCGATTTCTGCTACATTGTGCTGCAGATGCAACACTAGCTGCAAGTTCCCTTCTAAGCTATATGCCATCCTGACATGGAACTGCATTGCTGTTCCTTCAGTGTCACAGGGTCAAAAATAGCACTGAGGATGCCCCTGCAGCCTAAAGACTGCAACAGTGCAAGAAGACAGCTCACTACCAACTTCTCCAAAGTGATTAGAGATCTGTAGTAAATGCTGACCTAGCCAGCAACATCCAGATCCCTTTTTTTAAATCCACTCATTAAGTGGCTTCTACATTTCAGCAAGCATATTAATTATTCAAGATTTTTTAAAAAAATTAAAATATATCTAGATACAAAAGCTAGAATTCCATTACATTTTCGATTTTTTTTTTTGTACCTGCTCATGAAATTTTATGTAGGTACGTGGACGTTCCAAGTTTGTATGGACCTTCCAAGTTTGTATGGACCTTCACTATTATGAAAGTTTATAGTAAATGAAGCCACATTTTCCTAAAATGGAGTCCATTTGCCCATTCACTTACATTAAAATTAGGAGCAGAAGTAGTCTACTTGACCCCTTGAGCCCACTCCATCATTCAGTAAAATCACAGTTGATCAGATTACAACATTAACTCCACATCTCCACCTCCTCAAAAACCTTTCACCTCCTTGCTTATCAAAAATCTATCCATATCTGCCTAAAAATATTTGAAGACTCGACTTCCACTGACTTTAGAGGAAGAAAGTTACAAAGATTCATGATCCTCTGAGGAAAAAAATTTGTCCTCATATTATAAAGGTGCCTCCTTATTTTTGAACAGTGACCACTAGTTGTGGATTCTCCCATAAGAGGAAAAATCCTGTCCACAGTCACCCTGTCAAGCTCAAAGGATCTTACAGTTTCCAATTAAGTCAACTCTTGCTCTTCTAAACTCCGGTGGACACAAGTCCAGTTAATCTAACATTTCCTCATAAGGCAACCTGCCCAATGCTGGTGTTAATTTCTGATGTGGAGGTGCCAGTGTTGGACTGGGGTGGACAAAGTCAGAAGTCACAACAGCAGGTTATAGCCCAACAGGTTGATTTGAAATCACGAGCTTTCGGAGCGCTACTGTTTCGTCAGGTGAAGGTGAAAACGAGTTCACACAAGAATGCAACTATCGTGTTATGGGAGAACTACCTGTACTCTTTGTTTCTTGTCAACGAGCCAATCTTTTGTCCAGGCCAATATGTTAATCACACACCATGAGCTTTTATTTTCCATAATACCCTTTTGACACATCACTGTTTTAAATACCTAATGGAAATCTAGTACAGTACATCCAGCATTTCCTCTTAATCCACAAAACATGTTACTTCCTCAAAGAATACCAATAACTTGGTTAAACATAATTTCCCTTTCACGAAACCGTTTGACTTTGCCCAATTATCATGACTATCTCGAAGTACCCTGTTGCCTTTTTAATAGCTTCCTGTATTTTTTGTATGACAGATGTCTGGTTAACTAACTTGTATTTTCCAGGATTCTGATGCCTTTTTGAAGAAAAAGGTTGAATCTATTATTATCATTCTTTTAATGTTGCGTTCCATCTACAGTGTTTACGTTGCCACCTGTCTTTGTATCATAAACAAACATGATGGTGTGGCTCTTTCTTGTATCATCTAAGTTGGTCGTAAATACAGTGAATGATTGAATCCTCAAAACAAATCCTTGCAGACACCACTAGTCATATCCTGCCAGTTAGAATATTTGATGATTATTTTTATTCTCAAGCTCCTGCTGCTCAGCTTATTTCCTAAACAAGTAAGTAATTTCCTTTTGCTTCATGAAACTTCAGTTTAGTTAATGGACTGTTATAAGGGTTAGGGTTTAAAGAAAAGTCTTCTGAATGTCCAAGACATTAATTTCCCATGTCAAATACTGTAGTCACACCTTCAGGACAATTATACAGGTTCATCGTGCATATCTGTCTTTTAAAAATCTACACTTTTATTTGATCAATTGAAATTTTTCAAGGTGTTCAGGCACTTTATCATTAGTTAATGGCTCTAGTAATTTCAAAACAACAGATGTTCGACCAACTGATCTGTAACTCTCTTATTTTCTTCCTCACTGTTTTTCAAGTAGTAGAGTTGTATCTGAATTTTTTAATCTAAAGGAAATGTTCTCAGATGGAAAGAGCGGCAAGAATTACGGTTATCAGCGATTATGTCCTCATGTTCCAAAATATGATTTAAATATTTAATTTGATGTATCAACTGAACCATTACTGTTCTGAAGCTGGTGTTAGTAATAGAAGAAATATGGACCAATGATTTGAGCTTGCCCACACAGATTCAAGATATGAAACAAAAATTGAAATCACTGGAGAAGCTCAGCAGGGCTGGCACCATCTGGTGAGAGAAAATAGTGTTAATTTTTCATGTCCAGTGACCCTTCTTCATAACTGACTTGAAACATTAACTCTGCTTTCTCTCACCAAATGTTGCCAAATCTGCTGAGTTTCTCCGGCAATTTCTGTTTTCATTTCAGATCTTCAGCATCCCAGTTCTTTATTTTATTTTCATATTCATTTTCATATTTTAAAAACATCTACTGTATTGATACTGATATTCTGAATAAACCCAGTGACAGACTCTTTTAAAAATTAATCTAGTCTTTTCATCCTTCATTTTAGTATTCACTGGGCTTGCACAGAAAATTTTAAAAATTGTGCTTCATTTCTACAGTTAATGTTGGAGAAGATTGTCCTGTATTTGATGGAATGTTTGAATTTTGTCAGTTATCAACAGGAGGTTCAGTGGGTGAGTGTTGAAAATTTTTCTGGGCATGCATGAAAAAAACTCGTTGCAAGTAAAATTTCTGTTCAACAAGTCAAAATAATTTTCTTATTCCCTTTCTACATAGCTGCAGCAGTAAAACTCAATAGACAACAGACTGATATTGCAGTCAACTGGGCTGGAGGTCTTCATCATGCCAAGAAATCTGAGGCATCAGGTTTTTGTTATGTCAATGACATTGTTCTCGCCGTTCTAGAATTATTGAAGTAAGTAAAGCAGCTGATGTCTTTTTAAGGGAAATAACTGATATTGTTTGGCTTATTTTATAGAACTATGTTGTTCGATTGTATGCATAATCAACGAAACCTTCTGTGAATTAAATTTACTTAAGGGACAATCAAGTCTAAATTGACACCAGCTAAAATGTTCCAAACAATTTTCCAACCATTGGCCCAGAATTACTAGATAAAGACAAAAAATAATACAGATATGCAATGTTAAAATGGTTACTTAGATGACCCAGTCTCTGCTGCTGCTTATCCTACATGGATTCCATGGATCCACTCTGTTTCCATATCCCTATCTTATTATCCCTTTGTGGTTTCCTTTGGTCTTCACAATTATTTGCTGAATCTCTTATTTTAGTATGCTGTGTAAATTTGAATGCTGTTCCATCTAATTTGAATCATTAACAAAAGCAAAGAGCATATTTTGTCTCAAACAATACCCATGGAGCACACTTTCCTATTCCTAGCTACACAGAAAACCATCTTCAAATGCTAGTGTGCCCCCCTTCTAACCATTTTCAGCTCAGAGTTAGGGTAAAAGGACCTTCTTATCACCCCAACATTCCCTAGTACTGTCCTGTGTTATACCTTGGGAAATGTCTTCTGAAAGTTCATGGATACCACATCCACTCCATTACATATTTCCTTTGCATCATATCCTCTATTAGAGAGCTTCAATCATTGTCAAACGTGATCTTTTTTCTTTGAAGTCCATATTGGCTATTTCTAACACAGAATGCTGGAAAAACTAAGCAGATCTGGCAGCATCTGTAAGCAGAGAACAGTTAATGTTTTCAGTCTGATATGACCCCGAACTTTTGAAAAAGAGTCATACCAGACTCTCCACAAATGCTGCCAGATTTTTCTCCGAGCTTCTCTGTGTTAGTTTCAGATTTCCAGCGTTTGCAGTCTTTTGCCTTTATTGGCTACTTCAAATTTTCTTATCATCTAGATAGTTGCTAATTTCATAATTTTAAGATTCCAAAATTTCACCTAACCTAAACGAGAAAGTAACTAACCAATAATTACTGGCTGATCTGTGCCTCCTTCTGAAATTGTGTATTTAATTGCCCTTTTCTAAAAAAAAAAATTGGTTTATTGGGATCTATACATTGTAAGCAAGACCAGCATTTACTGCCCATTCATACTTACTCTTGGGGAAAGTGGAAGTGAACTGCCTTCTTGAGCCACTGAGGTCCTCATGGTATTGATACAACCACAGTGTTTTTCGGGAGTGAGTTCCAGGATCCTAATCCAGTGACAGTAAAAGGATGACCATATGGTTCCAAGCTAGAGCAGCTTATAACATTGAGTGAGAATAGTGATGTTCCCATACATGTGCTTCTGTTGTTCTTCTAGGTGATATAGGTTGAGGGTTTGTTAGGTATCTGTTGAAGGAGGATTAGTGAATTGCTGCCTCATACATTATAGCTGGTACCCGTTGATGCTACTCAATACTCGGGCAGAGGTAATTAACATTTAAGGTGGCGGATACTGTGTGATCAAGTGGACTGCTTTATCTTGGGTGTTGTTGAGCTTTATTAGTGCTGTTGGATATGCACCCATCCAATCAAGTTGTCTGTATTCCATCATGTGCCTGACTTGTGCCTTGTCGATAATGGACAGGCTTTGGGAAATCAAGAGGGTGAGTTACCTGCTGCCGAATTCCCAGCATCTAACATATATAAATATTGTGGCTCTAAAGACGTTGCTTCCAGTTCATTTTCTGCACAAAGGTAACCCCACAAGATATTTATGATGAGCGTTTCAATGAAGGTAAGCTCAGTAAGCTTTGCACAATCAGTAAGGAAAGATCATATCAGGAGTGAGACATGGCCTGAGTAAATGTATATTTTTGGGATTTTGGAGCATGGGAATTCAGTGTAGAGGGGAATATTTGCTTTTTGTATCCTTTATCATTCATACTTTTGTAAGGTCTTTTTGTTGGGATAAATTGAAGTCCAGGATCAGAGATCCAGCACAAAACAGAGTGACAGCACAAGAAAACCATAAGTTTGTTGCTTGGTAATGGCAGCTAATTTGACTGTTATAAGTTGCTTTCAGATTAAAGGCTGTAATGAAGGCTGGAACCGAGGACCCTTGGGAGTGAGCAGATTGTTGTTGACTAAGTGCTGCTTAATAGCATATCAACAACACCTTTTCATTGTTTGGCTGATGGTTGAGAGTAGAGTGATGGAGTGGTCATTAACCAGATTGGATTTGGCATATTTTTTGCGTACAGAACATACTTGAGTAATTTTGTGCTTGTTGGGTTGATGTCAGTGTTTTAGGTAAACTGGTAGAGCTTGGCTCAGGGTGTCGCTTGTTCAGGATTTTAAGCCTCTAATAGTAGAGTTGGGATGTTGTCAGAAAATATAGCATATGTGGTATCTAATGTTCCAGTGTTTCTTGAAATCATATGGAGTGAATTGAGTTACGTGAATATTGGCGTTAGTGACAGAGGAGATCTCAGGAGGAGGCCAAGATGGATTATCCACTTAGGACTTCATGCTGAAGGTGATTTCAGCCTCATCTTTTGCACTGATGTGCTAGGAGCTCCCATCATTGAGGATGAAGATGTTTTTGGAGTCTCCTCCATTGGTTAGTTCTCTAATTTACCCATTATCATTTATGTCTGGATTTTCTTCTTTCACAGAATGGGAATGTCATCACCTATGGTAATTTATCACCAATCCCTACTTGATCTTGAGAAGGTAATGTTGAGTTGCCTTCTTGAACCATTCCAGGCCATGCGCTAGAGGACCCACAATGCTATCAGGAAGGGAGTTCCAGGATTTTATAGCAGCAACAATGCAATTAAAATGGTAAAGTTCCAAGTCAGGATCGTATGTATCTTAGAGTGGAACTCGCAGGTAGTGGTGTTCTCAATGCACCTCCTACTCTTTCCTCTGGGTGGTATTCATTGTAGACTTGGAAGATGCTATTGAAGGAGATGTGGTGAATGCATCTCGGAGACGATACACACTGCTGCCACTATGCAACAGTAATGAGGGGAATTAAAGTTTAAGGTGGTGGATGGAGTTCCAGTGAATTGAGCTGCTTCATCCTGGATGGTGTCAGGTTTCTTGAGTGTTGTTGGAGCTGTACTTATCCAGACCAATGGAGAGTACTTCTTCAATCTCTTGACTCGTGCCATATAGGTAGTGGAAAATCTTTGGGGAGTCAGGTGGTATGTTGCTGATTCGCTTTAGTATCTATAATATTTATTTGACTGGATCATTTCTAAAGCTTTGGCAATACTGCAGTAATTTGTTTTAATCCGTTAGCTTTGGAGTGCTAGCTCTATTTCCTGTTGCACCCACTGGATTTATTCTTACCTTCTGGAGGCAAGAGTTGACCTGAAGTGTTGTACCTTCTATCATTTATTTGGCTGAGTTTTGAAGAAGTCTTAAAAGTGACATCATAGGACAGTTGTGAGTTGACTGGTTTTCAATCAGCAGCTATTGGAAACGGTATTTCAGTAATTTTGAAAATCGAAATTAGTGCAGGATGAATCAAAAATTTGAAGGTCGGGAAGGGGAAATGATTTATCAGTGAGAGTGAATAATGTCTGTTTTCTAATACTCTTCAGTTTCTAATTAATAGCAGAAGAGTAGGGTTAAAATAAGGAAAAAGGAAACTGAAGTTAAATCAAAGTGTCTATGCTGTGGTCTGTGGGGAGTCATGGAATTTCTAGTGACACAAGTGAGTCCATGTGCAGAAAGTGTGCAGGCTGCAAACATGTGAAGTCCAACTTTCGTAACTCGAGCAACAGCTGAGGACTTGGAGGTGCATTCTACATGGATACCACATCCAGAGAGGTTAGAGGCAAAGATGGAATGGGAGACCACCAGGCAGTTCACAGGATGTACACAGGTAGTGCAGGAGTCCTCGAGGTCCAACTCACTGATCAGTTTTCTGTCCAGGATATTAGTTTGAGCGATGGATCCTTGGAGGAGTGAGCAAGAGTCACCACGGGGGACCCAGCTGTCTAGGAGGGGAGAAAGAGTGGAAGTAGCGTTCTGTCGGGAGATACTTCAGTAAAGGAACAGACAGGTGATTCTGCAGCTGTCATAGTGATCCCAGGATTGTTTGGTGACACCCTGGTGTTGAGTACAAAGATGTCACGTAATAGCTGTAAAACATTATTCTGGGAGAGGGTCAATAGCCAGACATTGTGGTCCATGTTACGACTAGCAGTAAAGGCAGGAAAGGGGAAATAGTTTAGCAGTTGGAATTTAGGAAGCTAGGTAGTACATTAGTAAGCAGGACCCAGAAAATAGTAGTAGATTGCTTCCAGTGCTACAGGCAAGTGAGTTCAGAATTTGGAAGATAAGACATTTGAATGTGTGGCTTGAAAGATAGTGGAGGAGGAAGCTTTTTAGATTCTTTTGGCACTGTCACTGGTTCTCAGGGAGACAGCATTTCTACAAACTGGGTTGTATCTGAACAGAGCAGGCACTGAGTTCCTATTGAAGTGCATTTTGCGAATGGGAAGGTTTAAATTCACTCCGCAGGGGTGTGGGAACTAAAAGAGAATATTCGAAATTAATACAGTAAACCATTTTTCTTTGTCTCTGATTTTCTTCTAGTATTTTCTGCAGATTTCGGATGTGTTGCAGCATTTATTTTTGATTGGGAAGACCACAAACCCAATTTTATTTCAGATGCATTCAAGCACCGATCATATGTGAAAATTCGCTGTCCTTTCCCTGAAGTTCAGAATTAATCTCATTCATTTGTGATGATATATTTATAAGAAGCCCAAAGCCAAGCAACCACTCATTGTCTGACAGCTTACGGCACACTTCATTCCTTGTTATTTAAAAAAAAAGTGAAGTTCTCAAGCATCAGATCTAAAATTCTTGGCAGGACTTTCCATCGACTTAACCACCTCATATCAGCATGGAGGATTAGTTCACTTAGGTAGATTTAGGTTCGTTGAGTAAATAGTTAAACAAGCAGTGCGAAAGGGTTCT